GTTCGCTGCGTTCTCCATGTGCACACTGCTTCGATCCTTCGACAAACTCGGCTGCAAAAATAAAAGCAGATTCACTTGGTAAGGGACAGCAAGCTTGATAAATATTCCCGATAAGCTATTTTTAAAGATGTTAAGTTTATTTCAATAGTTAAAATTGCTCAGGAGAATGTATAAAGCGACGAAAGAAGCGAGATAAGTTCACGTACCACAGACTACGCCGAAACCTTCCCACTCGCGTAGAAGAATTTCCCGCTGCGGCTGGATGGGAACCACTGACATGCACAATGACTCGTTTCTGGACAATTTTACTTCCGATAGCCGTAGCAGCGCCAGCCGTAGTGATTTGCTTAAACTCCCTAATCTCCTGGTGTGGCGCAACTTTTTTTACAAACCTTTAGCAGCTAAAATCTTGCATTTGATTTTGAGAGGAATACATCCATCCATCAAACCGATTTTCGTGTAATTTCGCCAAGACGTTTCTGGGATGATGACGAACAAAAGTGTGTCAGGAAATTTTGAAACATATCAAACTGTTTCTCCCCTGCGTTGGACATTTGTTTTTGTCGGTTCCAGCCTGGCGCGGCCGCTAACCAAGATGCCCTCCTGAGCAAATTTTCAAATGACAGACAAGCCAAAGAGAGAGAGAGATAAGAGAACCAAAGCGATTCTGTAACGAATATTCAGCATACACCCCTGCTAAAAAGGTCATTTCACAGAGAAAAGATACAAAATTGTATGATGCTGAAGTCACAGAGGTTGACAAACCCAACAAGAGACTGAAAATTCACTACATTGGCTACAGTACACGCTTCGATGATTGGAGACTCTTCGGGGACGGTGTAGCATCTGAATATTTTCCTTCGAAATTGTATAGATTAAAAGGCTGCAACAAAAATTTATTGGACGACGTTTAGGGTAAAAACAGCAATCTAACCTGAAAAAAAATGTATTTTTTCCGACTCTTTCGGAAAATAACTTTACAAATCTTACTTCTTTATCTCGTAAGTAAACGATGGTAAATTGCCGTCCTTGTGAATTCCGTCACGCGTGTGGGTTCTTTGACGAGTTGACTCATACCATGGAGAAGAGTGGTTTGCATTAATTTTCTGGTATATTTGCATGGTTTCAGGGCAATAACATCCGCGTTGAAATCTTCCATAATGATCAAATCCTTTACCATTTCGTCGTCCAATTTCTGCAGCATATATGTGAAATATCTGCATGACCTACCTGTAACATATCTGTAACATATAGGAATTTGGCCCTAAATTTCTAACTGTGACAGATGTGTGACAGATATGAAAAACCAACAGCACTTACATATCTGTGGCAATATCTGCTACTACAGATATGTTAGCTATCCGTGGATCCCTACTGTGGCTATAGGGGAGCTGACTATCAGTGGTGACATAGGGTACCAATGTAGTTCATTAATTAAGAACAAGTGAATAAGACACTGCAATGTTATCTATTTGACATAGTTTATTGATATAAATAAAGTTCTAGCGGTTTTAAATTTGTTGTTGTTGTTTTTTTATACTCCTCTACAAGCTCCACAACACTTATCTTGCAAGGTTTTATTTACAACTGTGGCAAGCTGCTTTCTATAATTTTCCTCAACCAGAACAAAACCTAGGAAGCAATGAAAAGACAAATGTTCAAGTCAGTTCTCAAATGATTGAAATTGCGGATTACCAACAAACAGCCCCACAGTTGATTATGTTGGTAACATGGAGTTTCATAATCTAAAATACTAACAAAAATTTCAATCAAGGAGAGTACATGCAGTAGTTTGTTTGACCATGCACACTGTACCCAGATTGCCAGAGATTGAGATCACCACTTAGAATAGCCCCCTCCCCTAACTAGAATCAATAAATCAAAATGATGAAAGACGCGGTCCAAAGTGACAGTGTAAGCTTGGTTAGCAAGGGAAGTAGTAATCAATTCTGCAAAAGACTATCACTTCATAAAAAAATATCATTATGATTGCTTAGTTACTGGCAAAGAAGAAAGTAATTCATAATTAGTTTTATCAAACACTCTTTACCTATGAAACATGAAATAGAGGCAGAGGACCATTTAAGGAATTGAATTGTTGAGATAAAAAATAAAAAATGCGGGGTTATTCAGTTCACATACCACGAAAAGTGAGAATTATCGCTGGGAACCAGCCCTTTGCTATTTGCATCCTCCCAGAATGTGTCACACAAGGAGCCTGCCTAAACATCATCACCAGCAATCTCAACTTTACCCCAACCAAACAGGCACTTTATTCCATCCTCAGTAAATTTCACAAGGTGAAAGTCTATAGGGAAACAAGGTATCAGCAACTAAGCTTATCCGTTTGAAGTAAGTCTTGCTACAAACAATTATTTTATACTTTCGATAAGGTCATTATTCACAACTATATGAAGGAAATAAACAAAAACGTTCTAAGTTTCACCACTTAATAAAATGGGTGTCACTCACCATTAACCTCTTGAAAACGTGTTGATGCTTTGGTACTTCGTTGACTCCTTTTTGACATTTTGCAGTTGGTAGTTGTCGTGCTCGGGTTGAAACCGGCCAACTTATATTATTCGACATTCGCCGCTGTTTTTCCAGAGA